TTGTTCAAATAATGAATGTATTGTTTTATCATCATTATCATTTGATAAATAGTAATCAGTTTCACTTGTTGACGCTGCATTATGTAAAATTCACTAATTATATTTTTGTAGTAAATAAATAAAATAAGAAAAAAAGAAATTCATTTATAATATCCCTTTACATCCAATAACTAATCATGGAAATCAAACTTGAAACGTGTATACGTTTATTTAGACCTGATGAAAACTTTTTTGTTATAAGCAACCGTTAGCTTGGAGTGTTAGCTTACGCTAGAAAAAGAATTTGATTGAAAAAGTTTCGATTTAGCGCTGCGTTACTTTTTCTAATAGTTATGGTGATCTCCTCGGGAAGGGACAATCGGGCATAAAGGGATATCATTGTTACTTCGTGTTACAGGTAAAAAATTTAATAACGGATATTGTTGATTATTTTCAACTAATTCATTAATGTATTCACTAAATGATGGTTCTGCATTATTTTCACGTATAAAGTCACTAGAAGATAAACGATATTGTTTTGCATCATCAGGTATTGCTTGAATATGTAGTAAGACAATTGTTTGTTCGATATGTTTGTCAGATTGAATAACTTCAATGTTTGTGTATAAAATAGCAGTTAGATAAACATTGTTAGAAGATAAATGATCAAAAATTTTGTTTAACTAAATACAACAGTCATTTTGTTCATCAACAATATTGTCAAAAATGAGTTGATCATCTTGTTGTCAATGTTCTCTAAAATAATTGATTGGTAGTTTATTTTCTGTCAATTGTTGTATGTATTTTAATCCGTGTAACATCATCATTAATGTATTTGTAAACATACGAAATAAACGGTATGCGATTGGATGTAGATCACAGCTGTTTCACTAACAGTTAAATTTTTGACTGATGTAGACTTAATATAATAACCATAACGATTTGTTTTCATGAACTGTTGTACATAGGGATCAATCAGTCGAAATCCATCAAAGATTGACATTGATATTTGTGGTGGATCTCGTTGTAACAATTGATGAGAACCATGACGTATTGATCCAATACCCATTTCAAAAAACGAACATTTTGAACGGTCATTTGGCATACCACACCTAATCCGAGAAATTACGTTCTTAATCTTTTATGCCCGATTGTTCCTTCCATAGGACATCACCATAAATACTAGAAAAAGGTAACGTAGGGCGAACACACTACTAAGATTAGTAATCGATTACTAAATCGAAACTTTTTCAATCGGATTTTTTTTCCAGCGTTTGCTGTTATTAAAGAATGGAAATTAACTATATTTGGCCAATTTTGTCCTCTATTTAACGGCCTCCATATTTTACTCTTTTTCGAAATTATTGCAATAAAGCTACAAACTAATCTAAAATGGCAACTAGATGATTAAGTAGATTAAACATTTCTCTACAAAATGAAAAGTATCTCGGCTCTGAATGTTGAGTCGTTATGAAAATNAAACGGCCCCCAAAATCAATTTTTTGCGCTATCTGAAAAGCGTGTCTAAAACAGTGAAGACGAGCTGGTAAACATTGAACAAGTATACCAGTTTGTAGAAAGTTGTTGAATAGTTTCGAACTTGACAAGCTATCACATCTTGTACAGCGAACAATTTTCTACAATCTGGTATACTTGTTCAGTGTTTATCAGCTCGTCTTCACTCTTTTAGACACTTTTCAGATAGCCCAAAAATTGATTTTGGGGGATGTTTGTACAACAGCTGTGAGGAATCAACATTCAGAGCC